ACTTGAGCATCCACAGGTTTTGGTATCCATAGCGGGGTTCTGGAACCAACCCCAGCGGATACCAAGGGCCCACTGTACAGTATTCTTCAGGGGGCAGGATCTTTATCAGCTATTTTATTTTATTTTTTCAACATGCAACTGCATGTTCATGACTTTTGTAAGCCCCTTTATGAGGGTTGTGCGCCTTGAAATCTTAAAAATCTTTTAAACAAGCACATCTCCATGGCGGTAGGCCTGAAACTGCTATTAAGGGAAACTATTTCTTTTAAATTCACTTACATTTGGAAAAATGGAGCAAGTACAACTTTTTAGCAGAAAAAGAGGACTGGGATTCCATTTAGTTCTCTGTGGGCCAGGTAACTACTATACATTTAACATCACAGCTAGGATGGTCCATGTAGAGGGTGACCACAGGCTATTTGGATCATTAACATCATGGGAACCATGAGCTCTTCCCTCAGTACAGAAAAAGAGCTAGAAGTATATTGCTCAGTGGATAACATTAGTTATACCCAGAATCAGCTCTAAAAGCAACATGAGGCAGACAAAGCAAAGGTAAAAACATGCAGAATATATGAGGTGACGATCATGTAGTGGTCCTCTTCATTGACAATCCACCCTGCTGTACTTCTAATTTTCATGATTTGAAACTACAAAACTACAAAAGTGTCTCTTAGCCAGCTTCTGATAGCCAGAAAGCTAAGATTTCTGGACTTTAAAGAGCTGGCATCATTCACAGTCAGAATACTGTATTCAACTTAGGCCACAGAAATCAGAGATCAAAGCCCACCTCAAAAATACTTTGTGTGGATACCATTACTGTATAACCTGAAGGAAATTCTGGGCAACACTGTGAGAACATAATCAGATCCACATTTATTCCATATCTGACTGACCAGTGTTCTAGTACCTTTCCAGAACTGCTTACTGTCCACTGTCAGAATACACACATCCTAAACACACAAATACCAGGCAGTAGGAAAAGAAGAGGAAATTAAAACTATCTATGCTCAGAACAAGATGGGACTGAACCTAAAGGAAAAAGCATGTGAATTAATGTTGCTTTATTTTACCACACCTCTCCATATCCTGAATTCTTACACACCCATTATTACTTTTAGAGGCCCCAAATAGGGACAGGGAACCCCCATCTGCTAAGAGGGCAATACTAAGACGTCATAAGAGAGCATGATGAAAGAACCATTATTTATATAATGGCTGTTAGCACATTCTGTTTTTTTCGTATTACTGAGATCATCAGACTAATTTTTTTAATGAAATTGCAGAGCTGTGAAAAATATAAACAGCTAAAAACAAAATATATTACTATCACTAGGAACTCAACAGGTTCCTCCCACAGGCAAGATCCAAGCAGCATCCAATTTACAAAATTCACATCCACATACATTTTTGTTTTAGAGCTCCAACACAGCAGGAAAACTTCACTTTGATATTCAGCCCACTCACACGCTACAAAATGAAAATATCATAACTAACTTGAATAGGCTGCCACTCATGTCCCAAGCACCATTGGATTGTAGTAAAATATCTTCTGTAATAAAGGAAGACTTGAGAAGCTCTGTGCCTGCCAAAGGTCTGCACCTTGGATAAAGTTCCATATGATCAAAAGCAAGTGCTCTACAGCCTGGAAAGATATATGCTGTCTCTTACTCATTGGGTGGTGGGATTGCTTATCCACTAGTGTTCAGAATTACAGGTCTTTCACACACAGAGACAAACACTCATGCACACAATTAATTAAGCCATATAATTAAATATATAATTATAATGAAATATAATTAAAATGTAGCTTTGCATGAAAACAGTAATATACTAAGTAACAGAAATGGCTGCACGAGGGCCCAAAGTCTAATTAAATCAAATAATGGTTGACTTGCACCAGGTTATGCTACCCATTTTAATTTCATTCTGAAGAGCCACAGCAGATGCACAACTTTTTTCCCCTTTGGAATAATACATGGTTTATGGGTTGCAAAGACCACATCTCAGCCACTCAAATGGAAAGAGTCCATCAATAAGCATGAAATAGCCAAATCAAATTTAGGACTGCTCAGAACTCCTCTATCTGTTGCATGAGCAGACTAAACCAAGTTATTATTATCATCATACTTTACTTATAGCCCATATTTTCCCCTACAACTGGCTTAAAAATAAAAATAAAAAAATGACCACAATATGTCTAAAACATACAAACAGTCAAACTATTAACAATATTAAATTAATTCAGATCACATAATGATTCCAGCCACAAAAGTTATGCAAGTATACTATCTGAATGAAGCAGGGAAGGGGCCCTTTTATGAACCTATCAGAAACTGGCCAAACGACTCATGACTGTTTCTTTGCTAAGAAAACCCTATGAAATTCACAAGGATGCCATAAATCAACAGGCAACTTGCAGGCACATACACTCATCCCCAATAAAACTAGGGAATGCCACTGTTTGTCAATATCAGAAGAGCTATCCCTATAGATGTGTGAACCCTCCAGGGGCACTTCCCATGATAGCTATTACAGGAGAGGCCAATACATTTGCTGTTCAAGTGCTGTGTGACAGAAAGTCCATTTGCTTCTCACTTAGCTTACATTGTCCTAGTATTAATCCAGGAGCAAAAGAACAAATGAACCCAATAAACCTCCTCAAAACACCTCTACCTGTTATTTTATCATCTGTAAATTCTCTGATGGCTTCAGTGATTAGTAAAGGAAGGTAATGAAATGGAGGAAGAGAAGAACATTGGGAAGGGGAGCAGGGAGGAGATTTATCAGTCATAAGACTGGTTCAGATAACACGGGAAGCCAGGGATCCACAGGAACCTTGACTAACTGATTACAAGCTGCAGGCTGGAGCCACTTGCCTAGTTGCTCCTACTTACAGCAATAAATCTAAAATTCCTCCTCTCATTTTTTGAGGAAAAACAGCAGAGAAGGAGCAGAGCCCAAGTTTGGAGTACACACTAAACAACCCAAAGGTGTATTTAGCTGCTTCTACTACAAGTGGGAAGAAATGGGCAGTGTTCTGTATCTCATTATTTGTAACCAAGAAGTCAAGAGTACCAGTAGACTTGCATCATTCAGAAAAGATCACAGTGTTGACTGGGTTTTAAATATTATATCCCTTACTAATTAACATTCATAAACCATTTAGCTAACTGAATTGTGCCTTTGAAAGTCTGAGGTTTTAAAAGTGCCAGTTTCCCATTCCTATTATTTGAAATTTGCATGAGGATATTTTACCCTAACACCTTGCATCATAATCTGACCCAGGCATAACTTGCATTTCATCATGCAATCCTCAAAATACACAATGGCCTTGAACTATGGATGGTTAAGCACTCCCTAGAGACCCAAGATCCCTTCCTTACAAATACCAAGTCTCCTCACTTGACCTGAGTCTTGCTGTCCCTTAAGGGAAGGCCCACCTTGCCAGTAGGCTGGATGCAAAGACAAACAATGTGCCAAGATGTGTTTGGTAGTTCAATATTTGCTGTTTATACTGGACACAGTAAGCAGGGGGAACTAAGCAGCTTTTCCCCTTCCTTTCCTCCAAAGTTCTACAGATTGTTTAGGCACCGAATGCAAAAAACAAACTTCCTCCTGAAAACCTGAATTTGCATCAATTGATTTTAAGCTTGTTTAATTTTGAATTTCCAGTTCAACATAATTTCTTCTAGATAAAACAAAGCAAAACAGTGCTTTAGTTTGAGGTAACATGGTCAAATGGTAAAAGTCAGGGGTAGGCAACCTTTTTGAGCCGGGGGCCGGGGTGCTGTCC